ACCTTCTCATTGGACACATTAATATTAGATCTATATCTAAACATTTCGATGAACTGAAATCCTTCATGCTTGATTACAATTTTGATTTTTTAGCAATCAGTGAAACCTGGCTTAATAAAGAGGTTAGTTCCGCGAATTTTTATGTCCCTGGGTACTATTTATTAAGAAGGGATGGATGCGGAAGAGGAGATGGTGTCGCACTGTACATTAACGTATCCTTTCAAGTTGAAGTTCTGAACTACGAGGTGCAAGATGTAGATCGCTTAAACCAACTCTGGATTTCCGTAAAAATAGGTAAACGCATGCATGCCATAGGTGTTGTATATAAATCGCCGAGTATCTCCTACCAGCACTTCTCTGTTCTGGATGATATGTTTTCCTTTATTGTTCCGCAGTTCAGCGACGTAATCTGTTTAGGGGACTTCAACGTTAACCTGCTGTCTTCTTCCCGAGCATGTGAATACCTTAAACAAATTACAGACAGCTATGGTTTTAGACAAATTACGTCTAAACCGACGCGGGTCACGGCAACGTCGGGCACGCTAATTGATCATATCTACGTCACAAATGATCTGGTCGTATTAAATGAAGGCGTTGAACCTTTACCTTTTCATATCGATCATTACTTAATCCACTGTACGCTTGAACTTCCTAAACCTCCTAAATTGGACAAGTATATATTGTACAGGGATATCATAGGCATAAACAAAATAGATTTTTCAAATTGCGCAGCTCAGATCAATTGGGAACATTTAACTTGCCTTGAAGACATTGACGAGAAGGTGCAGTATCTCAATGCTTGTATCACAACATTATTTAATGAATTTGCTCCTATTAAAAAAATAAAAATCACTAAAAAGAAGATGCCTTGGATAACACCAAATATTAAGTACATGATGCGACTGAGGGATAATGCACTCTCCAAATTCAAGCAATCACTGAAAAATGTACACTGTCACTCTTCCTTTTCGGAAGGGAAATGGTTGTACTATAAGCAATTGCGTAATTTTGTAACCGCTTCTATACGGAGAGAGAAAAAAACATACGTAAAATTCCAATTAAAAGATACTAACGACTCCCAAAAACTTTGGAGCGTCTTAAAAGAGTTAGACGTTCATTCAAAACGATGCTCAGATGATATACCTGTTGAACTGTCTGACCCAAATCTAATCAACCAACACTTCATTTCAACCCCATCTGCAGTCACTGATACGGACACTCTTGACTTTTACTTAAACAACGTTCACAACTCTACTACTCAAACTTTTTCTTTCTCTACTGTTACAGATACGGATGTGAATAACGCTGTCTATAGTTTGAAATCTAATGCAATGGGTGTTGATTCAATTTCGTTAACTATGCTTCGGCTTTGTCTGCCTTTCTGTTGTAGAGCTATTACTGACATAATTAACACGTCTTTAAAAATTGTCACTTTCCCCTCCCTCTGGAAACTTGCAATTGTTCACCCTATCTGTAAAAAGTATCCGCCTGAAAACCTGTCTCATTTAAGACCCATTAGTATCCTAACTGTGTTATCTAAAGTAACTGAGAAGATTATATATGTACAATTGTCCGCTTATATACGTGCAAATCACATATTACCGTTACATCAATCTGGTTTCCGCAGCCATCACTCTACTGCGACCACTCTAATTGATATAGTGGACGAAGTCCTAGCAGCAACCGATCGCTCTCAAGTATCTGTGATGCTCTCAATCGATTTTTCCAAAGCATTTGACTGTATAAACCATGAACTTTTGGTAGCCAAGTTGCATTATCTTGGACTTTCTTCTACCGCTACTAATTGGTTTAAAAGCTACTTACAAAATCGAATGCAGATGGTTAGAACTTTGAGGAATGGAAGCTACAGTGACTCTAACTTTTTACCTGTTAACATGGGGGTTCCGCAAGGATCTATCCTCGGACCGCTTCTTTTCTGTTTATATGTTTTCGATATGGATACGTCTTTAAACGGTTTCTACATCCACAGTTACGCGGACGATACATACTTAATCTATCCTGTCCATCGAAACAATCTAAATTACTCTCTGAGAAAATTTAATGAGCAGTTAAATCGGTTCGAGAGATGGTCTGAGAAACATTCCCTAAAGATAAATCCATCTAAATCTTCTCTGATGCTATTGGGAACACCAAAATCTGTTACTGCATTGTGGGAAGATGTGGACCAAAAATTATATCTAAAAGATTCCCCACTCCAATTAGTTAGGGAATCTCGTAGTTTAGGAGTAGCAGTGGATTGTCACTTAAAGTTTTCCCTCCACGTCAATAAACTGATTCAAATTGCTTACGCGAAGCTTAAATGTATATATCGTTTCAATTACGTTCTTCCACCAAAGGTCAAGTGGCAGCTTGTGGATTCTTTAATACTGTCAACTTTGGATTATTGTGACACTGTCTATGGTCCGTGTCTAACTAGTGCAAATAAGACTCGCCTGCAAAAAATTCAAAACTCTTGTGTCAGGTATGCGTTTAACATTAAGAAATATGAACATATTTCCCATATTTATCAAGCACATAAAATTTTGAACATGGGCGAAAGACGTCATTTACATCTTGCATGTCTGGTTCACAAAATATTAGTATCTGGTGAACCTTTATATTTGTATAATAAGTTAAAATTTCGAAGTAGTATTCACGATCGTAATCTCCGTAACCCATTCTTTCTTGACATACCAAAGCACCATAAAACTCAGTTTCATGGTGCATTTACTTATTTTGCACCACTCATTTACAATAACGTTCCGAACTTTCTTAAATTATTAAGTCCCAACGGTTTCAAAAAACACCTTAGAGTACTTCTTTATCACTGAATCATATATATTTTTTTTTTTAATTTTTTATTTTTTTTTTATTTATATATTTATTTTTTCTTTTTTGCTTTACTTGTATGCTTACTTGTTCTCACCTGGGCTATCATACCATATTAATTATCATAAATTGTTTTAAATACTCCATCATGTTTTTGTACTTTTTTCTGTATCAAGGTTGGGATTAATAGCAGCCTTTGGCTGACACCCCGCCTAAATAAAGCCGTTATTATTATTATTATTATTATTATAAAAGTATTTGAATGAAATTTGATACATAGGCACTTGGAATAAATGAAAATCTAACGCCAGTTTCAATATTTGGTTTTGCGCATGCGCAGTGTCAACTTTTTTATTTATGGAAGCATTTAAGTGAAATTTGATACATAGTTGCTTGGAATAAAGGAAAATCTAGCGCCAGTTTCAAAATTTTATTTTGCGCATGCGCAGTGCCAACTTTTTTATCTATGGAAGCATTTAAGTGAAATTTGATACTTGGGCGCTTGGGACAAAGGAAAGTCGGATTTTTACGATTTTAACAGAAGTTGCATCTTACAAATGGGAAATGAATGCAAGTGGAAATGCGCTTTATGTAAATCGTTTACGATTACTTTTTAACTTGTCTTTGAATTGGTCATGTAGTGATCGATTGAAAAAAATATGGCGCGTGAGGGTGAAAGCCTAAGTTGGCTTTCGTAGAAACACCCAGATCATATTACAGTTTTATAATACTCGGACGGAAAGGTTTGAAAAATTATGCTACAGTCTTTCGCACGTCGACTTCTTTTAATACAGGATCGTATCTAACCATGCGTCCCAAAATTTAGTTTCTCTTTTTCACTCACTTTTGTACCCGGGGCTTTTAGTTCGTTTACTTCTTTTTCAAAGTCACTAAAAAATACTGCCAACTCATTATAATCTTTCAATCGTAACTTTTCCAATTTATTCCTGCAAACTATCTGTAGTGCGGTTGTGCGGTCGATTCCTTTGAATAAATTTCATCGAATTTCGTCATGATGTCAAATGCCGTTTCTTTGCACTCACAAATTCCAAGTGTTTGTTCGTAATTGCACCGTATATAATTCATAGCTTTTAAATTTTCATCTTCCCATTTTGCCACACCATCATCGCTCACTATCTCCTTTACCGCTACTGTATAGCATTTTTTAAAATCAGGATACGCTTCTTCCAATTGACATAAACTTCGCCATCGAACACCGGGATTGTAATATCAAACATGTTTCTAATAATTTTTAAACCACACTACGCTGCCATATAATAATTCAATACCCAAATACAAATTTAATTAAAACAAAAACCAATTTCATTACACATGGATCATATCTTATTCATTCTTGACAGTTGACATTCTACTCTATTCTTATATCTACTTCCATACGGTTACTTTACTGTACATACATTAGTAGGTACGAATTTATATAAATATACCTACTATTATTCCAACCCAATTATTAACAAATTTTGCACCCTCTTATCCATACTCCCTGAAAACCTAGGTTAGTTGACCCACTCCCTGCTCCCATTCCTCGTCGGCTCTACCGGTTACTTTGCGTGCTAATTTTGTTTGTATACCGACATAAAAGAACATTTAGCCCGTGTCGATATAATATTATTCTTATAAATAATTGTTCTGTGCAAGTGATGTAATACGTCATGCATTTTTTTCTTCCGTTAATAGACAGTAATCGTTAATTCGCAATTAAATAAAAATAAAGAATGGACGGCGAGCAATACAATGCAGCAATATAGCTACTTGAGTGTTTATTACCACGAATTTAATGCAGGATTTCGGCAGATTTCATTAGGAGTGTAGGAATGTTTTAGGTTATTTATTAGTATCAAACGAAAGGGTGCTTCGAAATTTCAAGTTTCCAATTTGATGCGTTAATCAAATTACTGTGTACAAGATTTAATATGTTCCTGTAGTTACCTACAATTCTCAAATTAAGTATAGGGTTATCAAGAACTTAGCTTTTAACTGTTACAGATGTTTCATGAGAATTAGACATTTATACGTAAATTTTAGTAGATACTCCCAAGTTTACCCAAGCATTAAATTAAAAGTTCCAATTCTCAAAATACTTGACATTACTCGGGCAGTTGCGGAATCTCTTTTGTAGATGTTTCTATGCGATTTTCTTTTCGTTTCAGGGGGATTTTACATGATCGAACGTAAGACACTAAGGCTTCAAATTGTAGTCCTTAATACAAACTTGATGAGAAGAGATGACGGCGACGACGACGCTAGCAGACAGTGGGAATGGTTACACAGAGTTCTGCACAAATGCCAACTTCACAAGGAAACTGTAAGTAAAGTAGAATTAAGTAAATATTTATACAACATGGCAAGTTACGCGGAGAGTCATAGAAACGGGCAGTATTGTAACTAAACTGTTCAGAAACTTTCAAACAAGTTAAGCGAAGAATTTACTGAATGCAAAGTATGGCGTCTAATATTAATGACATGACAAAGTCTGGTACAATTATTACTTCGCTGAAGTTACAATACAAAACGACTTTATGCTTACTACCATTTTATTTCTTTCTGTGAAACGTACCCCCTGGCGTCCGACTATATTATTGACTTTAGAACTGCAGTAACTTCGAAGTTCCAAATACCTCAATTAACATTAGCGTTTTACTTTTATTTTCGTGATTTCCTTTTACCACCAGAATATAAATTTTCATTGAAAAGGTTCTTCTTAGAATACCCACAGCCGACTTTTAGTAAGCTTTGTATAATGGTTAATTTAGGTCACTACTTGGCATTTAGAACATGATACATACCTAACTTTTTAGCGCATTTTCTAACGAAGTTGGATGGCCTATTGCAGCCACTTTCTTTCCCCGTCCGTTTGTCCTAGGCCTTAACTACTCCTACAGTTTTCAAGATATTAAGTTCGTTTTTTTGCATTCGGTAGCGTATAACTCTGGCACCTGAGCCAAGGAAAATCTTGACAATTAAACTGTGCATATGTAGGCTGCGCAATGTCAACTTTCTTATATATTTATATTTTTTAAAATTTTTAACCACAGATGCTTCTAGTAAAGGCAAACATATCGCATATAGTAAAAATCTGATATGCGCATGCGCAGACTGCGCAATGGTAACTTTCTCATTTATGGAGATATTTTTTTGAAATTTTAATCAAAGATGCTTTTAGTGTAAGCAGACGTATCGCATATTGTAAACATAAGATTAATGTGCACATGCGCAAGATGCGCAATATCAACTGTTGTTTATCGAGATACTTTTTTTAAATTTTTGGAAAGTACTGATCAACTCATGCGCTGAAGTTCGCCTTAGGGCGAACACCGTTTTACTTGTATTTATTAAGCTCCGTTGCGAGAGGTTTAGAATTTATGTGGCGGTATCTAGAACCCTACATCAGATCAGATCATAACAGATCCAACTCGTCACAAGAAACTGGTTGAATTCTATATCAAAAACAAAAATCGTCTACAGTTTTTAGATGTTGTTATACAACTGCTTTTATTCTACACAAGAATACAGAGATAATATCTTGCTGTGTCAATAAGATATCATATAAGTGCTATGTTTGTTCGTTTCATAATTATGTGAAATTAGTTATTTATTGATTATGTGTTTATATTTATCATGACTTACATAAGGAACGATATGTTCTATACATGGCGAATTAATAAAATTATTATTATTATTACAAAACCCTATTATAGAATGTTCAGAACTTTTTACCAAAAAATGGTCACTAATATCACGTTTGAAGTACTAAAAAGACTTTCTTTTTTTCTTCTTATCACGATACTCCATTCCAGAAAGGTTTGGAATTGTTAAGCAACTGTTCAGAACTCTAGTCGGAATTTCTTTCACATGAAGAATGTAGCTATTTCTCAGTTCCGTCTCGTACATATTAAACGGCAAAAGTTAACAATATTGCTATATATTAACCTCTATATTAACTATATTGATGTGTGCACTGATCCGTAGGCTAGAAAGACCGTACACAAAACACCAAAACAATAACCTATAAGCTACGTCTTTACCTTCACTTATTATCCCAGCAGAAAACTCCTCCACAATACAGAGGACAGATTCGACTCTTGCTCTCAGTTAACGTGATAACTTCTAACAGATACCTAGTGGCTCAAACCAAATACCTTAAACTCCAAACTGAACTGCAAAATTTTGAATAATTAAAATGTACCTTGGCCAAGCCTTCAATGAAAACATAGATCAATTAGAAAGGAAGTCGTTAGAATGAAACACACGGAAAATGAATGTGAGAATTACAAAAGTGCGATTTAATCGTAACACACACAAGGAAAATGGTACACACACAAACAAATATTACCAAAAAAAAAAAAACTAAACTTAAGACCTACTTACATTACATGTCCGGGAATTGTAATCCAAATAAAAAGGTATCCGTACACAAAAACAATTTTTAATTATCAACACAAATTACTACACTTTACACTGACGACCGGGTAATCTCAGCACCTTCACCACGGGTAGACAAGGACGTTCCAATAAACAACAAACTCAACTTCAAAATGAGTCACGGTGTACAACAAACTTATGCGGGCGCCGACAAATACCTCTCCTTGAAAAAAACACCTTTGATGGCCAAAACTTCAAACTTTAACAGGCAGAACAAATACTTAGCCACGATTTCGGCTTCCGGCTACGCAAACGGAACTTCTTCTATCTTCAAACTCCCACTAGGCGAAACTTTCAATGCTGGCTGCCGCTTCAACACAAAAAAATCCACGATGTAACTCGCAAGAAGCGAAATAAATTCCTCAACCAAACGTAGTTAGATGCCGCACGTAGCAAAAAACTGACTTCAAACTCCAACGATACGTAATACTGCGTAATTCTGCATAAAGCGAATTTTAAATTGACCGCACTCGGGCCCTCGACTTGACGTAAAGCCGATTATCAAATCTTCAAAGAAACGTAGTTCCGCTCTAAACTTGGCAAAAAGCTGATTTCAAACTTCCAACAAACGTAGTTCTTCGTTGACTGTAGCAAAAAGCTGATTTAAATTGGCCGCACTATGGCCCTAGACGTGGCATTCAGCGACGCTATTCCTGTTCACATCTTATTTAAAGCGAAACCCTTTTTCCGAAAATCAAAATTATAACAACCAATCATACACAGTTGACAACAGAAAAGATCCCCTCAACTTACGTTAATAGACCAAAACAATAGAGGTTGAATAATTTTACTAAACACTTTCTTATCAGACATTAATTAACTAAAGCACTAGGAAAAATAAAAATTCATCTCTTTTAACTACACAGCAAAAGCGATAAATCACATCCACCTGACAATTAAATTAAGCATTTACAATTGATAATAGATAAAGACCAATACAAAATTCTACGTTAAATAAAATACAAAAGTAAACAAAAACAACCTTGACCGCTTTCTCGTATGGCAATAATTTCCATGCCGTTACATAGACATTAGAATTAGGTCAAAATTAATTTGAGTTATTTTTTAGTTATCAAGAAACCATTTTCAAGCTCATTTTGTTTTGGTGCTGATATTTTTTTTAATGCGTGCTTAAAAGATGTCGAAAAACTAATCTCTACAGATAAATAATCCTGGCAGGCGGTAGGGGGGTATTAGTCGTGTTAGAAAACAAGTATAAATTGTGCACAACTCTTGTGCAGATAAAGCACATTTGTTTAACAGAAATAGCTTTTGTTTTGACATCACCAATGGATATATTTCTTGCAGACGTCTCAATCGCTCTTTGTGAGTACTCTTCCGACAATTCGTTCTTGAGGTATAAGAGAATATACTGTTGAATATACCCGATCACGATAAGAGGTCGAGGAGGAGGGCTATGGTTGGTAGAAATTAATTCCTTTCGTTGAGACCTTTCATTAGAGTACCATGAAGGATAATAACCAATTGGTTGTCGTATGTAAAAGCTATGCACGTTTTACTTTCAAAAACAGCATCTCAGGAAATAATTCGTGGGGGTGCACAAAGGACACTTGAGATGAACTGACACAATCAGCTCTGTGATGTATCACTAACGTTAAACTTAACGTGCAGGTTATCTGTCAAACACGTCATAACGCAAAATAACGTTTTGTGGTAGATAACCTGCACGTTAGGAAAAGAGAAGTACTGCAGATATTCTTTTCGTACGTTACGTGGACAAGACCATGCTGCATTGACTTATTCGTGTTATTGGATATTTAAATTAGAAACTCTCGAGCTATCCGACAAGACCGTTTTAAACCAGCATAAGTTTTGCTTAAAGATTTCGTATGTGTTCATCTCGAATAGAGTAGTGAAATATGCTCCGAAATATGCATTTAAGCTATTTTGAAATGTACAGGTTTCCTAATTATAAAGGTCTCGGCTGGCCACTAGGCATCTATCGTTGCTTAGCACTTCGGTTTGATGGGAATATTTCATGTAAATTGATTTATAATTAAAATTAGTTGGTATGTCAATAAGCAATACCCACAGCAAAGCACTCCCAGGGCAAATAACACAAATTTGCATTGAAACTAAAATCATTTCAAAGATATGATTAATGAGCACTGTTGGCATAATCTAGATCGCATTTTGGTGGTGATTCGATTTTTAATTCGAAGTTATAGGTTCACCACTTGTCGTTGTCACTCTCTACACTAAAAAAATGAAAATTGCATTACACCAAATTTCTTTGTGGACCAAATACACAAATTTTAACACAGATTGGTAATATCTCCCTTTGCATTAGCTTTGAGCTTTAATTAGAAAGGGCTCATTGCATAATAAATTAGAACTCTCTCCTAACGTTGCGACACGTCGTTCCTGTTATGTAAAATCAGAAAGAAATCACATGAGGGACGACAGCATAAGCTTGCGATCAATAAATTTCATTTAGGGACGATATTAATATTCATTCCACATACGTACGTCGTTCCTACTAGGGGTGACATTATTCTTCATTTCATTAGAGTCTATGTGTACGATATCCGTGCAACACAAAGAAATAAATTGATGATGACAACTTTCGCAGAAGTTTCGACTGTGCATTTCTAACTTTTGAGAAAATACGCCATTTTTGTCCGGTAATATCAATCCTGTGGAGTTAGAAACTTACTCCCAAACAATTAATTTAGGGAGGATACATCTCTACATCGGCAAAGTCAGTCCCAACTATTTCATCGTTATATAGAGGTCTATTTATTGAATGAGGAAATTGGAGTTACACTTGATTAGATATGAACAATAAATGAAGCTTCGCCGAAACTGACTATTTCCGCTTTATATATTTTAAGGGAAGTTTATTGAATGGAAATATGAACT